AGTAACACAAACCTCCCTTTTCTCTCTTTTCTGTCAGTTAATGGCACTTTCATCTACCCTGTTGCCCAAGCCTGCCATTTTGGTAATTTGTAATTCTTCCTGACTTTATGCATTGCACTCATCATGAAATCCTAAGTGTCTTTCCTTTTTTCCAGCCCTTGCTCTAGTGGACATCCTCCACCAGTGCTGTCCCCACTGTGGTGACTCCTTTCTTGTTGACCACGGTCTCTGACCTGCTGCTTCTGCCCCCTCCTCCCCAGTCTCCCATGTGTCAAGGCCTTACAATCGATTATGGTCTGATGGTGCCTCTTTTTTGTTTTGTTTTAAACTTGTGATTCAGTTCATACTACTGATTTTAGCTCTTATCCATTATATTCTTGGTTATAGTCTAATATGTGTCCTCTATAGGTTATATGTCTGTTGAGGACAGGAACCATTTAAAAAAATTTTTTGTATTTCTCCAGTGCCTAAGAGATCACTGAAGCTAGGGATGTGATTATTTCTTTTAGAAGCCAATTCTGGCTCTGTGTGCATACAAAGAAATGAGAAATCCTCTTGGACTGTGTGAAAATAATTCAGGTTTAAAATAATAGGGCGTAGAGTAGGGTAATGGCAGAGGGAACGAAGAAGGGACAAATTGGGGCCTTTAAAAATTAGAATTTTATCATATATTCTTGATCATAATGCATCTAATTATGTAGAATCTGAAAAATACAGAACCATACAAAGAAAATAAAAATCACCTGTAGTGTCCGCCACCAAACTAAATCCATATTTTTTGGTTTAATTCTTAAGTTTTTGAATATATATATTCTCACTCTTGCTTTCTTAATATATATGTATATTTAAAATATGCTTAAATGGTGTTTCTAAACAAAATAAAAATTATGTTTTGAATGTTATTTTTCATCTTCACATATATTTGAGCATTTTAACATGTTGCTAAATTATTCTCCAATATGTGATATTTAAAAATTGATTAAATGTTTTAGAATTCATTTAATCAGTTCCTTTTGTTGGACTTTTATTTCAAAACTTATCATTTCATATATAATTATTTCAGTATGTACTGCTAATAGATAAGAACTTTAAAAGGACCCACAATAGGCCCTTTCACCTAAAAATGTTAGCAGTAATTTTCTGATTTTAAATACCCAATGTTTACATTTCTCCAGATGTCCAGTAAATGTGTTTTCCTGATTTTCTTGCACTTTTTTGGTTCAAATATACAGCTTTGTTCAAGTATCCAAATAAGGTCTATTCATTGTGTTGCTATATGTAGTTTGTAAATTGCGGTTAATCCTTCTGGAATTCTTTTGATATATGGTATGAGCTGTCAGGTTTAAATGAGAAAATGCATGTAAAAATGTTTCAGACGGTGCTTAGCTCATATTAATTATAAATACGCCTACTGTTGTCTGTTCCCCTGGGTTTGATGAGCCAGACGTTTGCTTTATTGTTTATTTGTTTTTAAGGAGCCAGCCCTTAGATTTCTTTATTTGTTCTACTTAATTCAGTTCATTAGTACCTATCTTCATTTTTTTATTCTTTTACTTTCTTATAGTATGTTTTGCTTATCTCTCAACCAATGTCTTGAATTCATTTACTGAAAACTGTTTATTGCACACTTTCCTCATGCCAGGCACTGTGCTAAATGTTGGGAATACAGTAGTTAGCAAATGTCTCCACTTGCGCAGGAAGCTTGTAGTCTGTGGTTTATCCTTGAACCCAAATTTAAATTCTTTTTGTTTGTTTAATAATAAAAGCACATATATATATATAGTAGTGTAGTTTTGGCTGTATTCTATAACTTGCTATATCGTATAAATCTGTTGTATTATGTTGACTCATAAAATTGTTGACAGTCATTTTTAACTTATAGAAATTGCAATTTCATATAGCTCAACCTAAATGTTTTTAAAAATATTACTATACTTTTTTTTGGTCTAAATGTTCTTGTTTGAAACAAGTAGTTGCACCAATATACTTTGTTTTTAGAGCAGTTTTAGGTTTACAGAAAACGTGACCAAAGTACAGAGAATTTCCCTTACTCCCCATAGCTCCGCTGTTACTAACATACTGCATTAGCGCAGTACAGTTACAACTGAAACATTGCTAACTAATGTCCACAGATACATTAGGGCTCACTCTTTGTGTTGTGCATTTTGTGGGCTTGACAAACACAACGACATGTATCAACCTTTACAGTATTATACAGAGTAGCTTCACTGCCCTAAACCCCCTGCTCCACCTTCATCCCTCTCTTTTCTCACTCCCCAAGCCCCTAACAACCACTGATATTTTCACTGCCTCTGCCTTTTTCAGAATGTCATATAGCTGGAATCATACATTATGAAGCCTTTTCAGATTAACTTCTTTCTGTAAGTAATTTACATTTAAGGTTCCTCCATGTCTTTTCATGGCTGGATAGCTCATTTCTTTTTATCACTGAATACTGACTGTTTCATTGTCTGGATGGACCACAGTTTGTTTATCCATCACCTATTGAAGGACATCTTGCTTGCTCCTTAGTTCTGGCAATTATGAATAAAGCTGCCATAAACATTCATGTGAAGGTTTTTGGGTGGACGTAACTTTTCCACTCATTCGAGTAACTATCAAGGAACACAGTTGCTGGATCGTATGGTAAGAGTAGGTTTAGTTTTTGAAGAAACTGCCAAACTGTCCTCCAAAGTGGCTGCTTCATTTTGCATTCCCACCAGCAGTGAGTGTGAGTTCCCGTTGCTCCACATCCTCGCCAGCGTTTCGTGTGGTCATTGTTTTGGATTTCAGCCATTCCATTAGGCGTGTAGTAGTGTCTCGTTGTTGTTATAATTAGCAGTTATCTGATGTCATGTGATGTTAAGCATCTTTTCATGTGCTGCTTGTTATCTGTATACTGTATCTTCTTTGGTGAAGTGTTTGTTCAGATCTTTTGCCCATTTTCTAATTGAGTTGTTTGTTTTCTTATTAAGTTTTAAGAGTCTATTTTGGATACCAGTCCTTTATCAGATGTGTCTTTTGTGAATATTTTCTCTCAGTCTTTGGCTTGTCTTCTCATTCTCTTGACAGTGTCCAAATAGACTTTTGAGACTTGTCTTTTAATGGGAAATCAAGGGAACCTGTGTACCACAAACTGCTGGTGAGATGCCATTTAAACCAAAAGTCAGACATGAAGACCCTTTGAAGGAAAATATTCCCAATTTTGTGACAGATTTAACAGAGGGAAAGAATCAAATATGAATTTGAGCTTACTTAGTAATTTTGTTATAATAGGATTATGTTTGTGGAAATACAAGATTTGGAAAACCTCACATATTTTATCACAATATTTAAGAAACATAGTCTGGCCAGTTTGAGAGGCATATAAAGAAAAAGTATATACTGTGGAAAGATGAATACTAGCTGATGCCACTGTTAGACGGATTGTATTTTAATTATCGACTTGAAAAAAAGATTGTCTTGATAAAGACCTACACAGAACAACTTCCTGCAGTGCTGTTGAACAGTGCATTAATTGGTTCCTATGGGATGTCAGTTCTAGTCTTGACTCATTCATTCATTCGTTCATCAATTTGTCTTAGGTCATGTGATACATTATTTTTTGTTCATTAATTTTATTATTTTGTCTCTGTAATTTTGGATAACCTTAATGGATGCAAAAAATACTTTAAAACAAGTTCTTACCTTTTAGAGAGACATAATTATTTACTTCATATTTAAATTCACATATTGAATTTGCACATTAAGATATACATTATAAAAAGAAAATTGAGAACATAATTAGATTTCAAGACAAAATTCTCAATTACATGTGATCAAAGATTAATTCTGTGAAGTCCTGTGACTTTTAGTTTTGCAAATCTTCTAAAAGATGTAATGGAGAAGGACTAGGACAGAATTTCTCTTACATTAATATATTTTAAAATGCACATATGATTGAAAATAAATTTGTGAGGAGGGTAGGAACTTTAATTATACAGTATATTTCAAATTCTACATTCTCTCAAATATAACCATATCCTTGTTTTAGTATATGAAGCTGGCATGAATTTTAATTTAAGGTTTTGATTTCTTTTGCATAATGTGTTATTTTTCACAGAGATGTTCTTTAGAATACCTTATCAAAATGTGCATTTTATATTAGTGCTTTAAAAATTCTTGCCTGTTAATGAAGTTTATAAAATCTTGGATAGAGATTAGAAAACACACGCATGCACACTTTTTTCTGTCTGCACTATCTGTGGAATACAGTCATGACAATAAATGTTTTCTTGGTTATGTTCAATAATTTAAATTCAGTTTATTGTGCAAGACAGAAAATTGGCTTCAGGAAATTAAAAAGCCTTTCTTCAGTTAGATTTTTAAATAAAATAATAACTTTTCTTTTCTAGCTCTGTGATTGGTTACGTCTTAATGAAAGTTGTTTTGGGCGGTCCTCAACCTGTAGCGCCTTTGGACTTCACGAGACATGCTCTTTAAATGCTTATGTAAAGAACCTAGTTCAAGAGTATATTAAGACACCTGCTTGGGAAAGTAAGTGTGAAATTATTTTTCTGGATTGATATAACCAAAATGTTTTCAAAGAATTCCTCCTAGTTTTCAGGTCAAGATATGGGCTTAACTAAATGTTGTGCCAGTTTACGGATGTCACACTTGTATTTTGGCCAAAGTCTGTGACCAACAGGATGTAAAAGTACTTGCTCTTTAACTTGTGTCTTAATGTTCTAGGACTTGAGATTTAAACTGTTTTATATGCTTTAAGAAACTAACAAGTGACTGAGTAGGAATTGAACACCAATAAATCAATTTATTCTACAATTACCAAATCTTTTTGGGCTGGAGATTGAAGATGTGTTTGGAGCCTCTAAAATGGAAATATTTGTAAATAAATCCGTTCTTCTGTTTTCAAAGTGTTACATTTAACGTGAACTGATTATGAAAAGTAATTTTAGAGAAAACTATTTGAAAGGATGGTTTGTTTTTTTTTGCCACATACTTAGCAAAGATCAATCTTACAATTTCTTTGGGAGAATGTGTAATACTGCGTGAAGGGAGAAGTAGTAGCAGATTCATTAATTAAGATGCTTTTTACATTTCTAATGCTTCTTCTTCATTGAAGTCATTAGTGATCATTTGAGTAAATTGCATCCTTGAATTTAACGTGTCTTAAATTTCCTAGCTTTGTCTCAGACCGAGTCATATTCATTTACTGATTTCTCTAATCTGACCATGGAATAGGTCTTAAATGATCAGATAATTATCCTTTCAAAATACATGAATATACATGTTCTTCTGTCTTAAAACATTTCTCTTTTTGTGTTTTATTCTATTATATAGTAAATTTTATGTGCTTTTAGTTGGAAGATTCTTTTGTTAGGCATATAAAAAGAAATAAATTTTAGTCCCTACTAGAGTAAACATAGATTAAATCCTAAAATAGAGCTTGTCTTATAATTCAGAATATAACAATATCAGATCTGGTTAAGTATTCAAAATTAGATGAAACAAGATTTTTAGTGTTTCTTCCTTAACATTTCTAGGACTTAAAATATACTTTTTAATATAATATGCTATGTTAAATTAAAAAAAAAACTGATTTTAAATGGAAAGGAGGCATTTGTGTGTGTGTATGTGTGTTTAATATTTTGTTTGCCTTTTAAGATCCTTGGCTAAGTGCCTTTATAAAATTTTAGTTTAGCTATCAATTACTGGGCTTTTGTTCAGAATAAGTTAATAAATTCCAAAATAAGCACTGTTTAGCTTGAGTTTTTAAGCATAAAATACATACAATATTCAAATTTTTTTTATAGAAAGATTTGTCAGCCAAAACTATACTTTCAATAGCCTTTTCTTTGGATTTTGACATAAGCAGAATAAGTAGATTTTATACTATCTATATATCATGTGTTTTCTGAGTGTCAGGCATGGGAGTTACAGAGATAAAAGATGCATCCCTATCCTCAGAGCATAATCTAGCAAGGGAGATGAGGAGTAAGCAGATGATCTTGGCACAACGCCTGAAGGACGTAAGCACTGGGATGGACACCTGTGTGAACAGTCCCTGTCCAGAACAGGGGAGGTCACCTGATGGGGTGACACCCGACGAGTGAATGGAAATTAATGTGAAAAGTGAGAAAGCATATCCCATAAGGCTTGGGTGTACTGAGGTAGATAGGCATCCCTCTGGCTATCTGTCTGTCTGTCTATGGCACAGACTGGGGTGGGAATGGTAAGAGATACGGGTGGATATGAGATAGGTGTATATCTATACATATCAGATCTATGTTACGTAAAACAAAGCAACAGCAATGAAAACCACACAAAACCAATATCAACACACAAAAATGGTGAGGAGCTTTCCGAGTAGGCTTTCTGAGTTACAGAAAGTGGAACATAGTTTGGAAACAGCAGGAAAGGCTTATGAGGGCTTGGAAGCCTAAGATCAGCCACAGTGAAATGTATTTCAAGAAATAAATTAGGCAGTCCATCAGAAAGAACATGTAGAAAGCAACCTACAACAAAGATCCCTGCCAGGGTGTGTCCTCCACGGGAGGGTCAGGCCTTGGATTATTACTGACTTGATGCTGTGGCACTCCTTAAAATCAGGTAATCGTTATTAAAAGTACACCAAGCTTGGGCCGGCTGAGTGGCACGTTGGTTAAGAGCTGGCTTGGGACGCCAGAGGGCCCCGGTTCGGATCCCACATATGAGGGCCAGTGACACTGCCCTCTACAGCTAAGANCTGGGTCAGGGCGGCGCGGTGGCGCTGCGGGCCGTGTGGGGCGGGCTGGTGGCGCCCCCGGGGCCGGATCGCGTGGGCCTGAGGCTGCAGGTGCTGAGCGCCTTGGCAGAGCGGCTGCTGCCGGAGACCTACGTGCACGACACGGGCCCGGACGCGCGCTGTTGCTCGCGGTTCTGGCGGACAGTGCAGGCGGGGCTGGCTCACGCCGAGGACGCGCTGACGCGCAAGCGCGCACGCTACCTGCTGCAGCGGGCGGTGGAGGTGTCGGCGGAGCGGGGTGCAGACTGCACCTGCAGCCTCCAGGAAGGAAACGGTACCTGCCTCTGTCCCCAGCCCAACCCAGCTTGGCTTTCTGGGAGGGAGGCTGCTCGAGACCACAAGCCAGCGCTCATGGTGGTCTCTATTCCGGCAAATTTTGGTTATTCCGGTGGTCCCCATAGAGCCCGAAAGCCTGGGACCCTCATCTCGAGGGTGTTCTCTGAAGTGACACAAATCACTGCAGCCGAGAACAGTGTGCCTATTTCCCAACCTTCCTGACCCAGAGCAGGGTGGAAAGCTGTAGCTGTGGAATAATTTAGGAACATGACGCCCCACGCAGGATTTCACAGACCAAATGTGCATTTTATCGTGGTAGGTTCATTCTGATAGAAGAGTTAGCTGCCATCACATGGAAAGGAAATTATTTACTTGTACTTGACTGTTAGAATTCTGTCATAGAAACCATCACTTAAAAAAATTTACTTTGGTAATTCTCTTAGCAGGATTTACTAAATATTTGTTAGACATGATCCTTAAATCAACCTTTTGAGATTATTTTTGCCATTGGTTTAATAGAATGAGTCAGATTATTACTATTATTATTATTTTTTTACATTTTGAGCTGTGCTTCCTACTACTTTATTACAGAATAAGAGTAGATGAAATAGCAAGGCGTCCCTTCAATTTGGTATGTTATTCTTGATTGGTCTGTCCACTGAAATCAGTGAGAAAATATACTTCAGTCATCATAAATCCATTTTTGAGCTATCCAAGTCCAAAATAGATTCATTCAAAATTGTGTCAATAGAAAATTTCTACTTTTTCAACTGTAACTGCCTATTCATTTATTACTGGTAAAGAATTTTTGNCAACGTCCTCCACAACTAGACTGAAGAACAAAAGGATAGCAACTTGTCTGTTCCCCTTCCCCCAATTCCCCAATAAAAATCTTAAAAAAAAAAAGTACACCAAGCTTCTGTTATAGCCTTCCCTTTCAAGTAGCCAAGGTGAAGAATTACTTAGGATTTCAAAAAGCATCTGTGCTTCTATAACTTTGCAATTGGTGCTTTTCTGGAGGCAAGTGGCAATGACCTGGTTAGCCACTTTGAAGACCCTAATGTGTGTGCTATCCAAACCAGAGTGTGTAGGATTTACACCCAAAGGCCTCTGGCTCCCGCGGTCTGTAAGTGGAGAAGATGCTGAAGTTGCACTGTGATTACAAACATTTCATTCTCAAACAGCATGCCCCCCACCCCCACGCCTGACCGCCATGAGGTCAAAAGGTGTCTTGATTATATGATTGCTAGAAAATACAGGGAACTGAATAGTGTAATGGCATTTCATTGCATTTTAGTCTTCATTTATGAATGAATTTTTAATGTAAATGTGGAATATAAATTTAATATAAAGAGTAAAAATGTTTCAGAGAACTTTTAATAATTCACCTTTATAGCACATAAATTTAACCTACTAAATTTCTTTTTTTTTTTTTTAAAGATTTTATTCGGGAATTGGGGGAGGGGAAGGGGAGCATGAAAAAAGTGTAGACATGTAGCTGAGAGGCAGTCAGGGAAGGCAAGCTTTATGGAGGTAATGACGTCTGTGCTGAGTGTTCAAGAGTAGCTTGTACCTCGGTAGACAGAAGTGTAGGGAAAGGATGGCCAAGTACATGAAAGGGCCTGAGCAAAGGCTCTAGGTAAACACACGATGGTGGTAAAGAGAATAGTGAGTGTTCTGGCATGGGTGTAGCAAAGGGTTAAGAATGGGGGAGGGGAACAGTGTTGGGGAATTGAAGAAGGGCAACAGCCAAGTTGTTGTCCTTCAATCTTAGTGGAGGGCGCAGCTAGCTCAGCTCCAAGTCCAGTCGTGCCGCTCAGCTCAAGGTGCTGTGTACAGTTAGTTGCTGGTGGGTGTAGCCACCATCCCATGTGGGAGTCGCCCTGGCAACCTTGTTGTTAGAAGCACGTGCTCTCACCAGCTGAGCCATCCTGCCATCTGTTGGCAGTTCAGACTCAGCTCAGGCACAGATCACTGGCCCATGTGGGAATCAAACCAGCGACCCCGTTGCTCAGAGCTCGCGCTCCTAACCAACTCAACCCACCCCTGGCTGTTTTACTTTTGCAGCTTCATCTTTGAAAGGTTTTGTTAATGCTTTGCAAACCAAAACTGTTGTTATTTCAGCAGGAGAAAAGTGCAGTATGCCTGATTGGTTTGAAGCCAAGCTTGTTGCTCTGATGGTCTTGCTGGCTGTAGACGTGGAAGGAATGAAGGGTCAGTACAGGTGAGCGTTTCCAAACTTGAAACCAACCCTTTTAAAAACAGCTGCTCAGATTTATGGTACATATTCCGACTTTCCCGTGATTGGCATGGAGTTGACCACAAAAGGAGAGAATGGGAACATTGACAGTATATTAAAGAAATGTTTAAATAAATGTTAACAATAAGTTAATAGTAATAAGGGCTTATTATTCCTTTTAGGTGGTAAGTTAAACTGTTAGAGAAGTTCTAAAAAACTATATACAATAATCACTGGTTTTACATAAGAATATTAGAAGAATGGGTTGTAAGATCCTAGCATAAGATTAGGTAAAGAAATTTACTGGATTTGACTCTTTTGTAAAGTATAATGAAAAGAAAGATAAACGATAAAACAATCTTATTTATATTTTGAGACTGTGAGCAGATCAGTTCTCTCAGATTATAATTGTTGCCAAAAGTAGATTCAGTAGGTAGTGCATTTGCATGAGCTGCGGTTAATTTGATTAACATCAAATCTCTTTTCTAGACAAACTTTTAGTACTAACATTGGTTATACCAGTTTTTCAGAAATCCTTAATTCTTTGAGTGTTTTTTTTGTTGACATGTCTCATCTCCTTGACTAGCGTTTGTTTGTTTTATTTTGAATCACGGAAGCAGAGTCTCAGCATTTTAATTTGCAGATGACTAGGACACAGGGTTTCCTTCACAGTGGTGCCTGGAGCTGACCACGGTATGTTCTTCCCTGTGCTCTCACTCAAGTGAGTTGCTACCCTCGCCGAGAAGGTGCAGCCTGAACGGTCAGCGAGAAGGTCGGAGGGAGAGCTCAGTCATGTAGGTGCTAGGTTTGGGTCTCCCGTGACAGTGGTTCTGTCAAATTGACTCCATTAGTTAACCAATTCCACAAATTATAGATGGAAAATAATTTCTTTATGCTTCTGAAGTGCTTGATTTGAGCATGTCTTTTGATATCTAGTGAAAAGCGGAGGACACAGAATGTATTGAGGATATTCTTAGACCCCCTTCTGGATGCCCTCATGAAGTTGGGTACAAATGCCTACATGCCCTTGCTGAAAACTGACAGATGCCTCCAGTTGCTGTTGAAGTTATTGCACACTTGCTTGTTGAAAGGTTCCAGTCCCCAAGATGGTGAGGATAAATGGTTTCTATGAGTGTCTTGCTTGGTATATGCTGGTATTTAGAATCAAAGGAAATTCCGTGCATTCAGCCAGCATTGACTGAGTATCCCTTGGTGGTGCTGGGGACACAGCAGGGCAAGAGCATGCCCTCGGCCCTCACGGAGTTGACATGCTAGGGTTTACATCTGTTGGTTCCTATTGAGTTTAGAATATGATTTCATTTGCTTTTATTGTTTTAATTTATGCTTCTCTAGACCATTGATTTCTAGACCATTGAAAATGATTGCTATTTCATATGTTTAAGCAAGATCCATTTCTTAATTGCCACTAGGCTAGATGTTGCAGAAAGTACGGCACAGCGTGAGAATGGCAGCAATTTTATACTTATTTTTAAATATGTTAAACTCTGAGCACCTTTTAAGTAGAAACTACTTCAGACAGAAAGTATCGCGGTAGTAGACAGAAGCATCAAGCTTTCTTCCCTTCTTAAACTGAGATGTCTGTGAAACAGATGAAAACCCAGTGGACGTGAGAGATGAGAATGTTGGTGGGTAAACCTTCATTCCCAATCCTTTCTGAACAGTTCCATTTGGAATTGTAGAAATTAAAGTTAAAAAATATTGGTATTTAGTTAAACCTGAGGATAGTATTGATAAGGTAGGATTTTAATATATGCTTGTGGAATAGTAAAGCTAGTTTCCAGCTTCTGATATTTTTGATAATAGTAGTTGAACCAAATACTGTGCACGTAACAGTGACTTTTTGTAAGATTTTTAACTCCTTAAGGGCATCAATTTGGATCTATTCAATGTCTTGACTTCTTTACTAGGCTCAGCCCTTTCAAGTACAGGGCTGGGTCATAGATGCCTTTTGGAAAATTGTTGTGATATTTGTTACATGGGAGGTTATATATGTCGTGGTGCAAAACCAACACCTGTGAACTCACCACCCAACCCAAGAAGGAAGTTACCTGAAATCCTCCCTCACCCCCTTTTGCCTCCTTATTTTGACTTTTATCTTTATCACTTCAGTGCACTTAAAAAATGGTTTTACCGCATATATAGATAAACCTCAAAAATATGCTGTCTCATTTTCTTGCTTGTGAACTTTATAGAAATGTTACTTTACGGTAGGACGTCTTCTGTCACTTTTTCCCACTTAACACGCTTCTGAGATCACCATGTCCTGTCTTAGACCATCATTTCCCCTGTTGTAATGTTCCGTTGTGTGATGACAGCACAGTGCTGCGTTCTCCTGTTGCGGGACATTGGCTTGTGTTTAGCGGTTACTGTTCTGTGCAGTCCTGCGTGGTCACCTGCCTGTATGTCCCCTGGGCCCGTATGTGAGTCCCCAGGGCCTGTTCCCCTTCTTAGGGGTTGTGCATGTAGAGCTCAGGAGATAATGACAATGCGTTTTCCAAGGAGTTGTATACACATTTGGTGTTCTCACCTGAAGAATGTATGAGTTCCCTTATTACGTAGTATGAGCCAAAGAAATACCTGTTTATTTGATAGCAGTTGACTTCTATATAACTGCTAAACCATATCAAGTTTAATCAATGTCAAATAGGTCATAGAAATGCTGAAAGGATTTCTTTGATGACAGAAGAGGACAACAGTTACTTCCATTTTATAAATGAGCAGGTAGTCTAGGAATTAATTACCTGTGCAAGGGTTAATGAACAAGTAACCCTTTGGTTGAGGTCTAGTAACACTGCTGTTTGGAGCAATCTGACTTTATTGTTTTAAAATTTTTTAATTTAATTTTCAATGTTTTATTATGGAAATCTTTAAATATACAAAACATAGAGATGCCATAATAAACCCCTATGCACCCATCACCCAGCTTCTTATGTTTTTTTGAGAGAGTTCAGACTGCAGTGGCTTTCCTCTTGGTCCTCTGTTTTTCCATGTCTTTTGTTTTATTTTCTTTTCCTTTTTAAAAAGCCCACTAAAGCTGGAATGACACATGGGAGAAAGAAGTGAGATGTAGGAAAGCGGTATGACTAGGTGTGTTTTCCCCTCCTCCTCCATTTAATCGATGGCAGTTTCTGTGCTGATACCCCTTTGGAAGATGTTTACCTCTTAATGGAGGGAAACTCTGAAAAACCTTGCATCTAGTGTTGGGGAATTCACTCACTCAGTGTCTGTGGGCAAGTGCTGTTTCGAGCATGAGGATACAGCCATGAAAGAGAAGATGAAAACCCCTGCCCTGTGGGGTTTTTGTACTCTACTATGGGGACTGGACTGGGTGGAAAGAGAGATGACAATAATGATATAAAATATATGGCAGTTTGATAGGTGTGATGGGAAAAACAAGACAGGGAAAGTGGGACAGGGCATGCTGGGGGGTAGAGGTTGAGGGTTACCGATTTAGTTAGGTTGGTGGGGAAGGCTCACCGGGGAGGAGACATTAAGCAAAGGCTTGAAGAGCTGAAGGAGGGAGGCCTTCCCGGCAGAGGGAGTGGCATGTGGAGAGACCCTAGTGTGAATGCTGGCTGTCTGAGGAGGCAGCGAGGCGAGGAGTACTTGGAGATGAATTTCGTGAGGTAAAGAGGGAGGGTGACTGTTGTGTAGGACTTTGTAGGCGATTTTAAGGAGATGGCTTTTATTAGAAGGTTTTGGGCTGAGGAGTTGTAAGAGCTAGCTTAATTTTTAAAAGCTTACTCAGGCTGTACTGTTGAGAATAAGCCACACGGGCAAGAACCAAGGCCAGGAGACAGCTCCTGGGCTTATACCAGGCACTGGCCACGGATACCGGAGATGTGTTATGATTTGAGATATATTTTTATGGTTCTGCCAATAGGATTTGCTGATGGTTTGGGTGTGGGCTGTGAGAAACAGAGAGCACTCAGAGGTTACTCGATTTTTGGAGAAGTTGGACAGATTCGAGTTGCCTTTAACTGATCTTAGAAAGACAGGAGTTGGAGAAGGTTTTAGATGAGAAGTCCGATCTTCCATAGTTTAAGTGAGAGACATCTTTTAGATGTCCTGGTTGAGTTGCTGAGTTGGCATTTGTTGTCTTTCTTTTACTGTTTTTTTAAAAAAATTCTTTTTATTGTTCTGATTGGGTGTTTTCTGCTACCTTGTCTTCTAAATCGCTGATTCGATTCTCTGCTTCATCTAATCTATTGATTCCTTCTAGTGTATTCTTCATTTCAGTTATTGTATTCTATATTTCTGACTAGTCTTTTTGTAGGGTTCTATGTCCTTCTTTATGCTTGCAATATCTTTGTTGAAGTTCTTACTAAATTCTTTAAGCGTTCCTATAATCAGTGTTTTAAACTCTGTTTCTGGTAGGTTGTTTTCCTCCATTTCATTTATTTCTATTTCTGGAGGTTTCTCCTGTTCTTTTATAATATTTGGGACACATTTCTTTGTTCCTCATTCTGGCTGCCACTCTGTGTTAGCTACTATGTGTCTCTCAGTCTTTGTCTTTTAGATGTCTGTTAGGTGTCTCTCAGTCTTTGCTGGGTGGCCTTAGGCAGTAAGTGTCCTGTGTGGTCCAGCGGTGCAGTCTCCCTGATCTCCTGTGCATGTGTTCCTGGAGTGTCCCATGTGTGTTGTGTGCGTTCTCTTGTTGTATTTGAGCCTTAATTGTTTTTGGCATGTCAGTGGGTAGGACTCACTCCCAGGCTGACTGACTGAGGATTGGCTATGCCCATAGTGTATGAGCTGCTGTGTGGGGGCTGACCCCTCAGAGGAAGATTTGCCGCCATGGGCTCTTGTGCCTGCTGAGACCCCCCTGCCACCCCGCCTTTGGGTGTGCCACTTGTGGGGCTAACCAGATAATGGTGTGATCTGAAGTCGGCCTCTGGGTGTGTTGTTTCTTATGCCTCTTGGGAGGGGTTCCCATGCAGGCCTATTTCAGCCTAGCCTGTGACTGGCCCGGGGCTACCTGGTAGGGGCTACAAAGCTATATGCAATTGGTTACATCTTATGTGGGACCTGGAGGTGAGTGGAGGTGGCCTTACAATGAACCAAGGCTGGCTGCCACCAGTATTGGGCCTGGGGCAGCTTAGCAAAAGGCCCCGGGTCCCTCTATGCCTGTTGTCACCTACTGTCTTCCCATAAGGCTCAGCCATTGAAGAGCCTCCTTAGGTGCATGGACTGGGCTGGTTGACCTGGTATTGACAGTGCCCCCAGCTGTGATGCTTGAGTTGGGTGGAGTGGGGTCCCAGGGAGTCATGGGGTGTGGCCAGTGGTTTTCACACAGTTAATGCAGTTTCAGTTCTTGTGCCAGTGTTGAGCCTGTGGCCACTCTGTAAAATGCCAGCCACACTCACCTTGGGCCCACCACCACTCACCTTGGGCCCACAGATCTCTGAGAACCGCCCAAGAGAGGCTGCAGCGTGAGCTGGGGCTGACTGCCCACCACTGAAAGTTTCGCAGGCTGCTGTGGGCTGTCCCCTGATGTACGAGCCTCTCACAGCTTTCAGGGTGGGGCTGGCTGCCCAGGAGCTGAGACTTCCCAGGGCGATGCCACACTAGCTGGGTGGGGTGGGGTCCAAGGTGGTGCATGCTGATTTTGCCAGACCAGCGTGGTCTCAGATTTGTCCCTGTGGGGGTTGGTTCGACACGGGAAAGATGGTGCCCTCCTGTAGCCTACATATGAGGCAGGCTCCATAGACTGATATTGGTGGCTGTCCCTCTAGCTGTCTCCCTGGAGCCACACAACGCAGTCTTTGCTCATATGTCTCTGGTACCTCTTGAGTTACCACCCCTCCACCTGAGCCCAGACAGTTTATATGTTTTGCTTTGAACCATCAAACAAAAAGAACTCAAAAGCCTATGACATTTACCTAGATTGACATTGACAGTTCCTTTTGCTCTTCTTTCACGCTTTGTTCCCATTTTTCCCTACGTGATCATATCTGTTCTGTTTGAAAAACATCTTTTAGCATTTTTTTTGAACAGTTTTGTTGGCAGTGAAGTCTCTGTTTTTCTTCACCTGAGAATGTCTTTTAGTTCACCTTCTGAAGAATATTTTTTGCTGGATATAAAATTCTGGTTTGATAGATCTTTTCCTTCAGCAACTTAAAAATGTTCTGTTTGCTTCTGGCCCCTATGATTTCTCATTAGAACTGGAGTAATTCTGACTCTTGTTCTTTGGGGTGATGTGTTGTTTTCTCTTTTTTTTTGAGAGTGTTTCTTTGTCTTTTGTTTTCAGCAGTTTGGTTATACTATGTTTGGGCCTGACCTTCTTTGGGCTTACTCATTTTTAGGTTCCCTGAACTTCTTGAATCGGTAGGTTTATACCTTTTACCAAATTTTGAAAGTTTCCAGCCATTTTTTTATTCAAATATTTTTTCAGCATGAGTTTTTTCTTCTTCTGGGACTCTCATGACATGGATGTTAGATATTTATTTATTATTCTACAGGTCTCTGAGGCTCTGTTTATTTTTTTAATCTCTCTTTTTACTCTGTTGTTCAGATTGCATATTTTACTGATCAGTTTTCAAGTTCACTGAACCTTCTCTAGCATCTCCTTTCTGTGATTGAGCCCATCCAGTGAATTATTTTTATTTCAGTTATACTCTGCAGTTATCAACTTTCTATTTGATTTTTGTGCATATCTTCTATTTCTTTGCTGAGACTTTCTATTCCATTTGTTTCAAGAGTTGAAGCATTTTTATAATAGCTGTTTTAAAGTATTTGTTGGATTATTCTAATATCAGTGTCATCTCAGTGTTGTTTTCTAGATTGCCTTTTCCTAGGAATTTCCTCATGTTTCACATGTTTGGTGGTTTTGGGTTATATGCTAGATATCTTGAATATTATGTTATGAGACTCTAGATCTTGTTTAAGTCTTGTGGAGAAGGTTGGTATTTTTGTTCAGCACACAGTCAGCCTGGTGAGGGTTAAGCCTCAATTCCAGCCCAGCTTCTGTGGGTGCTGGTTCCACTGTCAGTTGTGTTTTCAGCTTTTTTGCAGTGCTGCCTTGACCTGTGCCACATGTGTTCCATCTAGGGGCCAGTCTGGGACCTGGGCATTTGTCTCTGTTAGTTCAGTCCTTTGGTTTGCTGGTTAGTATGCAGAGCAGCTTGGGGTGGGTACAGGTGTCACAAACCACTTTCTGGGGCCACTTTCCTGGGTGCCTCCCCCTGTGGACTCTTAAGGGCTCACTGTCTGCTTCCCTGGGGTTCTCCTTTTCATTCTCAGACCAGAAAGTTGGGGTGCATTCTGCTGCCCACCTTCTTAACTGCTCCTGCATCTGGTTCACTGCTGTCCAGTGTTCTTTCTGAATCCGTCTGCTACTTTTTACCTCTCAGACTCTCCAAATAGCTGCTGCAAATATTCTGTCTGGGTTTGGGACCTGCGTTCACTGAGAGAGGGTGGTGTGTCCCTGCTCCAGCTCATCCAGAACTAGAACACCTAAATGATTTTTGAGATTAATTACAGATTTCTCCATGGTATTAATGTTGCTATATTATTGGAATCCTTTTTTGGTGAATCACCCATGTGCTTATCATGATTGTACTATTACTAGACTATCTAGTGTGTTTTGTATCAAATCACTTATTTCTATCATTTTAGTTGTACTTTTTTCCCCTGTACAGATGAGGTATTTACTCTGCTTCAGAACTTTGTCATGTCTACTACAGAGAGCATCTCTGAATTTATCCTCAGAAGACTTACTATGAATGAACTAAGTAGTGTAAGTATTCATCGGAGTAACTTTTCATTCTTTTCATCAATATCAGAGTGATTACTGACTGGCAGGCATTGTGTTAAATTGAAAAGAAAATTACTTTCTCAAGAAGCAGCCTTAGGAAGCAGAAACGATATAAGCTTTGGAGTCACCTAGTTCCAATTCCACCTGTGTAATAACTAGCTTTTCTGAGCCTTAGTTTCCTCATCTGCAAAATGGAGATCATACATCTTCTTAGGGTTTAGAGAGTTTCAGATGGTATAACATATTTGATGTACTTAGCATATAAATGTGTGTTTGGTTCCAGCATCCAGAGACTCTGGTTTGGCAGGTTTGAGATGGGACCAGGTATCACTACATACATATTTTTCAAGCTCCAGAAGTGATTCTGAAATGCAGCTAGGGTTGGGAACAAGAGGTCTGAGATAAGAGGATGCTCTGTGCATGTACTTCTTTGTCTCTACTCTCCACACAATCTGTTCTAGGTTTCTAGAAAAGAAATTAATAAGTTTTCCCCCTTTCTTCAAGAATATTTTGAAAATACCAATTCTTATAGAAATGGCTATTCTCATTTTTAATTTTTTTGGTTGAAATCCCTAGGGACACATGTTGAAGCAAATAGAATCATTAGATTGTCAATAAAATAAGGATATATAATTATTTTAACAACTTTTATTAGACTACCCAATTAAGTACATTTGTTCGATAGCTGGTAAGCAGATGTAAAAGTATAAAAAGACAAGTTTTGTACTGAGACACTTGAGATGGGAATACTTATGATGGGAAGGCAAGGAAATAGAAAGTATAACTCCTCTGGAGTGGGGAGTATTTATCTTTAGTCTTCTTCTTGTTAAACAATTGTTAACATTAGTTTTCCTACACCTACATTTCCAAGAAGGCATTTAATAAAGAAGTAACTTTTTTTGTTTGTTTTGTTCCAATATCACTTTATTATCATCAGTATTATTTTACCTTTGATTATGGAAATTTTCAGATGTACACAAAGGGAATTTAATGAACCTCCATGTATCCATTATGTAACAAAAGTGTTTTTGTTTGGAATTTGAAGCTAAAAATAGCTTTGAAAAGGGAAAGATTAATGTGATTTTATCATTTAGATACAAAGATTGTTAAAAGTACACTGAGTATATGGTAGTTTGAAATGATTTTGAAAAATTCACTCTTTAATAAGTTAGGTATTAGAGTTCCCGATTAAATACATTTGTGGGTAGCTTTAGGGTTTAATAAGAATCTCTTCTCCCACTCCCCCTCCCCTGAACGGTGTGACGGTCAGTGTTTACCAGCCAGCCCTTGGGGAAGAAAGCCCCGCCCCCGGTGCGCCTCAGCCTCCATGGCTGGTTTCATGCCGCCATCATGAGGTCACTGAGTCGGGGGGAGGTGATCCACCATCCTTGCAGTGCTGGTGGCTCCAGGGCACCGTGGCCTCAGTTTCCCTCACAGGAAATAGTGGCCATCAGACTGGAATCGCCCCAGTTTCAAACTGTCAATGTCAGTACATGTGCCCGCTCCTGAGTCACCCTCCCGGTCTTCCATTATAGGACAGTCAGGGGTCTGGGGTTGATCCCCCTCCGTTTTCTCAGGAACTTCACACCATTGATTATTCTCTCTCTGTCTTGTATTGTCAACCTCTCCTTTTCTCCTGAATTCTTTTCATGAGCTTTGAAACAACTTTCAGAGTCCCTCACTTTAAAAGAACCCTGAATTCCATGTTCCCTCAGTCTCCCCGCTCCTCCGTGAGCTGATCTGTGAGGACTCCTCCGCCCCATTCTTGCCTGGTTTCCACCTGTCAGGACACAGATGGCTCGCTCTCAAGCTGTCAGTGACTCCTTTGTCATAACCTAACGGATACTTTTCAGACCCCGGTGTTCTGGACTCCTTGGCCCCGCTGGACACTGCTCACCACCCGCCTTGAAACACTGCCCTCTGTAGCTGCTGTGACATTGTCCTCTCCTGGAGCCACCTGGCTTGCCATTACTCCTGCTTTTCCTCTGAATGTCTGTCCTCTACTCTGTAGCCTTGAAAGGAAGAGCTAAAAGCTTGTCCTGGCCCATTTCTCATTCTCTCCTCTGTCTTGGTGAGCTCATCTGCGTCCCCAGATTCAGTTATGCAAGGGCCCCCCCACCCCCCATCTCTGTCTCCACCCTGGACGCTCCTGAGCGTCACGCCCTTTCAGCCAGCTGCTCTGGACCACTTGAAGTTGAATTTCTCATGTCAGGTACTCACTCAAAACTGCCCCGTATCATTCCTATAGGAGCTTCTCAGGTTCCCCTTCCAGCCCATTTCTCAAGCCCAAACTTTAGGACCCCCCTCTGGCACCGTATCCCTCACTCTCAGCCCATGTTCAACCCTTCACCAGGTCCTGCAGTTGTCACCTTCTATCTGCGCTGTCCTGGTACTTGGCAAAGTGTCTGGCATGTAGCGGTTACTCAGTAAAAACGGATTAAATTAATGCAGTGTGTGCTGCCTGTGTGGCATAGAAGGCCCGAGGGTACAGTAATCGGTACAGTAATAATACTGAGGCCTGATAATAACCACTCGGTGCCAGTCCATTCAGCGTACTTCGTCTCACTTAATTCTTTCTAAACCCTGTGGTGGATAGATATTACCCTCCCTACTGTATGGATAAGGAGTCTCAGGCCTACAGAGCTTAGGGCATGTGTTGTAGGTCACAGCGGGTGAGTGGTAGCTTGGGGCGCATGCCGTAGGTCACAGCAGGTGAGTGGTAGCTTGGGGCGCGTGCCGTAGGTCACAGCGGGTGAGTGGTAGCTTGGGGCGCGTGCCATAGGTCACAGAGGGTAAGTGGTAGTTTGGGGCATGTGCCGTAGGTCACAGCGGGTGAATGGTAGAACCCGACTGAACCCAGCTGTGCCAGGGTCTGTGAGTCCAACAGACCCGTGTTTCATTCTCCCTCCTCCTCACGGGCTCTTAGATACTGGGTGAGTTGTTTAACCTCTCTGAAGCTTAGTTGACTCGTCATCTTAGGAAAGTGGGATAGTCACCTTCCTTAAGAGAACAGAGTATTATAACCTGCCTGAAACAGAGGAAGTGGTAATTGCTTTAAATGCTATTATTTGCAATGTGTTAGTCCTGGTGCAAGAATTGGGAGAACATAGTTTCTGCCCTCTGGGGTCTCCTAATCCAGGTGGGAGCAGAGTCATGTGGTCCGAACTGTACCTGCCGACGCAGTCACAGTGGACACACAGAGGTCCTTGCTCTGAACAGGGAGAGCGTGGACGACTTCTGGGAAATGACTTTTCCTCTCATCAATGTCTTGTTTCAGTACATTAAAAAAACCGAATTTATTTCCTGCCTGAACTCCTGTAGTTCTGTGAAAATCACAGACCCTGCTTCTTGAGTGTCTTGTTATCTGTCTTTAGGTTGCAGACCTGGATCGTTGCCATTTATACCTGAGCGTCTTAGCTGAGCTTACTCGTCTCCACCTGAAAGTGGGGTGGAAGAGTGGTAACCCCATCTGGAGAGTTCTTTCTCCTTTGAAAAACACGTCCATTCAGCATCTTCAAGACGCGGATGATGGACAGGTAACCCTCTGTGCTTCGGGGCTTGTAGTTATGTTGACTAAGGCACATGGGGGACACTTTTGATGATTACATGGTATTTGATATCACACGCATCTGCTGAAATCTAACGTTTAAAATAGTGTCCTTTGTTCATGTATTTGATGACGGTTGAGACTCCTGTTGTTAGGTGTCTAACATAGTGTGGCAACTTTAGCCTTAAAGGCACTTAGCACACACAGTGGACTTGCCCTAGGCCTCTTGCTCATGCCAGGAAGTGGTGCGTCTGAATTCATCAGCCTGGCATCCAGAGCCCTCCAGGCCTGGCTTGCGTCCCCGTTTTCTAACTTAGTCATCCACTGCCTTTCCTGTGTGCTGCTGTCAGTCTCGGCCAGCACGTCGAGTTTCACCGGTCCCACGCACATGTCATAGCCATCCCCATCTTGGCTTTCATCATGCCTGGTCTTCCACGGAGAATGCCCTCCCTCCAATATACACTTGTCAATATCCGGTCTGTCCTCTACGGCCCAACTCAAGCCACATTTTCTTGGAGGCCTTCTTGGATCAGTGTCTCATTCTTTCCTTCATTTCCCTACTGCTCTTTATGCCTCCATTATAGTGTTTATTTCCATCTACATGTTTTTGGAGTGATTTATGTATATGTCTTCTCCACTAGATTTCAGTACCTAGAGGCATTTCTTACATGACATAATAAGGCATTGTGGTTATGAGCACAGGCTTTGGAGTTTGGACTTCCTGGGTGTGAATCAGGGCTTTCTCCTTGCTAGCTGTGTGACCTTGGGGAAATTATTTAACCTCTCTGTGCCTCATATACTGCACCTGCAAAATGAAAGTTATAGGGCTGATGTGAGACTTAAAGGAAGCTCATGTTAGAATAGTGCCTGGTATAAGAAAGTCCTCCATAAATGTTAGCTGTTTTCATTTACCACATGGTAAGTGTCTCAAAGTTGAGATGAATCATAGTTTATTTTAGTCTGGGCTGCTAATTAAAACAGTGAAGTTACTTGATTGTTTTAATAACCTAATTTTTAATGTAGTTTTCAATAACTGTCCTAAAAAGTGACAAAGAGGACTGATTAATAATTCAGCGTCCTGCCTAGTACAAATTAGTCTATTAGTGATATGAAAGGACATTGTGCGTTTTGAATGTAGGCCAAAATCATGAACTACACCACAGTAATTCTTAGACTAGCTTGCTTTCTTTACTCGTTCGCTGAGTTACATGAAGGTTAACAGGGAGCATACTGGCTCAAAAGTAACACTCAGTTTTATTTTGTATGTCAGCAGTGTTGCTATGTCAAATTTACTTGTAGAGAAACTTATTTTTGGTGTGAGGGAAGGTATGGCATCAGAAGTAGAAGGCACCTTTCTGGTGGAAATGTCACTGGCTGGCAGGAACTGGGAGACCAGAGTCTGTTTGGTGCAGCTGTTCTGTGTGTCTGAGTTCCTGCCTGTACCCCCGGCTTCTGGGTCGGAGATGGTGACTTTCTAAGTACGAAGCCAGGCTGTCTTGGTTTCCTCCTTTGTGCTCCTACGAGTAGCGTTCCAAGTGTTTTCCATGAAATACCCCATTGTTGCATCTTCACAGTAACCCTGTGAGGTAGAGTCTGTGACTGCCCCATTTTACAGACGCCAACACTAAAGTGCAGTGTGTCCGCAGTCACACTGGTCCTGAGTGCAGAGCAGGATTCGGACCAAGGCCATGTAGTTCCTGAGTCCGGCTCTCGAGGGCAGTGCTGTGTCACCTTGAAAAGCAGCATATGGCTGATTGAAGGCGTTACTATTGTATGTACTGGGAGTTCTTTTAAAAAAACACACTTCAGCCAAACAGTTCAAGTAAGACTCACCCATAGGGATGTTGGATCCAAACATATATTTGATGAGGAAGAGGCTGAGAATTCACAGGCAGGTCTGGGTGTGTCTGTAGCTAGTCTGTTGTGTCCTACTCTCAGGAACCCACCTGCCAAATGAAGACATCAAATTGTCGTCTTGGTCTGCACCGCCAGATTTTTATTTTAAATTTGTTGGCCGCTGGTCTGTGGAGCAGTGTAAAACCTAGTGGCGTGCTCCGGGTTTCCTTTTGTGTCCTCTGAGTTCAGGAGCAGGAAGAGAGAGGAGGGCACGAGATTTCCATAGCCGGGCAGCTCGGGTCCTGCCTGGCTGGGACTGGCTCAGGGTAAAGGAAAGATTTCCGTGTTTCCTCCTCAGGAGCCCACACTCGAGAAGCAGATTCAGAGAGTGGTCAGTATGGCTGCCTTGGCCACGGTGTGTGAGGCAACTGACCAGAAGCCAGAACTCCAGCTGGACTCTCTGGATGCTGGTCCCATGGAAAGGTTCCTCGCGTCCCTTCAGCTCAATCAGACGCTGCTGAAGCCCCACCCAGAGGAGCAGAGGTGTGTTCGCCCCTGGAGTGCAGTGTGGCCATGAAAGGCGCCTTGACTGCTGCTGATGAAAAATCTATTTGTTTCAGTCACTGAGGTTGTGACTGTGCAACACTGCAGACAGGGCTTTGGAAATTTGGAGATGAGGCCCCGTTCAGGATGATCATGTGTGATCGCATTCACCTTTCTTACTGGAAACCCATGAACTTCCCTGCAGTTAGCTTTCAGTGAATCATTTAAAGTGAGTGAAAATGCCTACTCTTAGGTTACTTAGAAAATCAAAGCTCATGTGGTTTCCTTGTTTTTTGGTAGATTAATAACAGGATAATTAATAACAACTGTTCACTTTCTCCCCATGTAAGAATAGTTAGTGTACTGCATGCAAAGGAAATTGAGGGATGGGGCAGTGACTTCGTTTTTGTTTCAGTTTTTTAGAAGAATCATCATCTTCCCAAGGATGGGGGAAAATAGTGGCACAGTACATTCATGACCAGTGGGTTTGCCTCTCTTTCCTGCTGAAAAAGTATCATGCCCTTATCCCAGCCTCAGAGGGTGAGCTCTTGGAGCCCATTCTACCTGCTGTTCAAATGCCAGGAAGGACCTTGCAGTCTGCACTAGATGCCCTCACGATTCTTCCTTCCGATCAAGTTTCACCTGTGTTCTGCTGCATGAAAATTTTAGTTCCCAAGGTACGATAAGAATAACTGTATGAATGGAAATCAGTTTCTGAAATTAAGTGGTAATTATGCATTTCTTTCTCTTTTTTTATTTTTTATTCTACCAGCTTCTGGCCTCCTCTGAATCACTCTGCATAGAGGCTTTTGACATGGCTTGGAAAATTATATCTTCTTTGAGCAACACTCAGTTGATATTCTGGTCTAATTTAAAAGCTTTTGTTCAATTTGTTTTTGATACCAAAGTTCTCACCATTGCCGCAAAAATCAAAGGCCAAGCATATTTCAAAATAAAAGAGGTAACTTTTTTTTTAACTGGGGTAAAAAACACATAAGATAAAACTTATCATCTTAACTGTTCTTAAGTTTACACTTGAGTGGCATTAAATGCATTTGCGTTGTTGGGACTCATCTCCAGAGCTTTTCTATCTTGTGGAACTGAAAGACTACCTCGTTAACATCTCCCCTTTCTCCCTCCCCTAGCCCCTGGCCACCATTCTGCTTTCTGTTTCTATGAATTTGACTGTTTTAGATGAAAGAGGTCTTCTTTAATTTGTGTGATCTGTATGTAACACATGAGGAAGAAGAGAATTATGTTTGTAACTACATATTAGATTTGTTATTTATTCATTCAGTCAATAAATATTTTGAACCTTCTTCAACGTCATGAGTAAGAGCAAGAAAATCTTAGATGTTAAAGAGAAGATGTCAGCTGAAGCCGATGAGCCACATCTGCCTCACAAACATATTTTATTTGGTTCATATAATGTTTAAAATTCTGAATGAGTTGCCAGCTTTTAAGAATTGGGAAATTTGCATGAAAATCTTGGAAAGTTGGATGATCGGGCAACACTGGCCATTCCTCCATGACAGTAGTCATCTGGCCGTCTGGATGGGGTCTGCCTTTTCCTCCTCTCAGTCCACACCATTCCTGATGTCTTCTGGATGCGAAAGACAAATGTCAGGCGCCATCTGTCATTGCATTTGTGCCGTTGATTTTCTTGTATGAGAACTACTTCTCTGAACATAACCTAATCGCAAGGTCCTTCTGGTTTCTTGGAGGCGCTTGTGTTTATGAACACAGATGCATAGTAGGGAACACAACATGGTGGAATGACACTAAGCCTAGGAATTCATGCATACATTTATCTAAAGGGGAAAATGGAAGTACGACCCTTTATGACCCTGCTGTTCCCGCTGCCTCTCTGCGTCCTTTCCTGCCACCCAGTACACTCCACTTAGAGACCAGGGTCTGCTGCTTCAGGGAAAGGGAGGCCACTGGCAAAAACAAACAAACAAACAAACAAACAAAAAAAGCAAATAAAATGAAAGTGTAAAAGGTGAGGTATTTTTTTTATCCCTTTCATTCTATTTGGGTAGTTAGGTAGTGGTTTCTCTTGGAAAGTTCTGGGTGAATATCACCGTTAGTAAAATTTATTATTATTGAATAATGAAAAATTTGCATTCTGTGATTGTTGATTGTCTTGCAATATTCTAAGGACACAGCATTTTTAACTTTTTGGACTGTATTCATGGTTATGTTGAAAGTATCAATTGAAGCCATTCACAGAACAGTTTTTAGTAACACCAACTTTTTTTGTGTGTGGAAAAACTAAACTGGTTAAAGGTTACAATGACCATTGTATTTCATTCCAGATTATGTACAAGATGATTGAAATGTCTGCTATAAAAACTGGCGTCTTCAATATGCTGATTAGTTATTGCTGCCAATCTTGGATGGTTCCTGCTTCAAGTGTGTCCCAAGCCTCTTTATCAAGTGCTAACAATTATAGTGAACTTGTGCTTGAAGCTTGTACATTTGGAACTGTGTTTAGACGTGATCAAAGGTAAAGATGCTTTTATTCCAACCTGTCCTGACTTACATTAAGTACCTACGTGGGTAGAACTGTTTTTATTTTGAGGCTTTCAATTAGAAGAATTTAAAGCACTAGTTAACTTTAAATTTGGGGCTTCAATTTTTTTTCTGTCTAAAACCTGCTGTTCTTTGTCAAATGTTTTTTGTGGAAAGACTCATTCAGGACGTACAGACCTTCATAGAAAATCTAGGACACGATTGTGCGGCAAACGTTGTTATTGAAAAGTAAGTATGGGGATTTTTTATGTCTTGACATAAATAGAATATTCAAAATTTAACATATAAGAGACATTCTGTATTTGTTAAATTTAATAAATGTTTACTAGTGATATCTAAGATACTGAATGAACCTTCAAAAGTATGTTAGAAATTATATTCCCTTGCTAATATATTGTCTTCAGATCTGTCTTTACTAAAATTTGATAAACTTAAAAAATATATAGGCTGGAGTCCAACATAAATAAGGAAATGATTATGGGGAATGTAAAACCCCTACCTTTCTTCTTTTTGGGGTGGAGGGATGATCATCATGCACATTTTATTCTTTTTTTGGCTAAAAATTACCATTTAACAAGCCAGTGTGCTCACACAAAAATAAAATCACTCTTGGAATAGGCCCTAAAGTTTTGATTTCTAGGATAAGACTATTCTTATCTAATCTCTGAAGTAGTGTTTTTTGAAGCTTATCAAATAGCTTTTAAAAAGTTTTACTTTTTTTGACATTGTTTTCAAAAATCCGTGTGTATAGGTGTTTATAAAGAAGATGAATAGTGTTGTATTATTCATTTAGATTTTAGAGTTTAGGACAACAAATGAAACTTGTACAGTTATCGCATGGTGTTTACTATTCTAAGTGCCATAGGTATGCTTTATCTGCCACTCTTCATTAAATATATACATTTTTCATTGTTAATTGTATTAATTTTTTTATTCTCAACTGGTTCAGGGCAGCAACAAAAGTAAAATTTTTTAGTTTACGGTTTCAAAATAACTTTGATTTCTACTAGATAAATGTTTTAAATTAAAATGGATTTTATGTACATTATAACAGTTATAATGAAATTTGGAAATATTTATTAACAATTCTTTTACTTTAGCTTTCCACATTTGGGTACTGAGAATGCTGGACTGCTCAGAGCACATAGTGCTTCCTGAGTTTGTCCTTCACGGGGAGAACGTGCACGCTTAGAAAAAAACGTGCGCTCCTATTGGATGCGTAGCCTGGGCCTCAGAGGATGGAGCTGTCCATGGTTCTCTTTCAGGAATAGCTTCCTTCAGTGGCTGTGGTCTGTTTTGTCCACAGATAAGACACTGTTGACCCAGGATCAGCTGCGTGTGTGTAGTTTTTCCAGAAGTCTGGGTGAATTTGTGCTCATCCAGACTTCCTCTACCTGCTCTCCTGTTGACATATTCGTTATCTTCTATCCATCCTGAATTAAAAGGCATTGTCACTAACTATGTTGCTACTTCATTTGAGAAAACTTTGCAAGGTTTTGATATTTGTTATATTTTGAAACTAATATTTGAAGTATTTTTTGTTTTGAAAATGTATTAACATAGTCTATCATTTTATATTTTTTAGTACTAAAAGAGAGGACCACTATGTTAGAATTTGTGCTGTCAAATTCCTGTGTTTGTTAGATGGCTCAAATGTGTCTCATAAGTTGTTTATGGAAGATCTTGCAATCAAGCTATTAGATAAAGTAAATATGCTTTATTTTACTTCAAAGTATCTTCGTTTTTGTCATAAGTCAAAATCCAACGTTTGCTCTTTATGTTGACAGAATATGCATTTCTAAATATTTTTTATCAAGAAAAATCATGAGGTTTATGTTCTGTGTTTTTAGCTAAGTCTTGGTGAGTAATTGTCCAACTCAGGTTTGGTTTTAGAGAACAGCAGTGTTTTCCCTGTGCTAAACTTTACTCTGTATTTTCGAGTACCAGTCAAAACCAGTTATGTTTACAGTGATGTATCCACACATTGTTTTATGTTAGAATAAAAAGGTAAAAGTTTATGAAGTGGCATACTTGTAATGCGTAGGATTGATTTTTTGAGTCTGCAAAATCATTTATAAATGAACATCACACTGTCTGAACAATGGGTTTAATAAATCTGGGGAGAAGAGAGAAAGGGGTAAAATCAAATACAGTAAAACCTTGGATTGCGAGTAACTTGGTTTGCGAGTGTTCCATAAGATGAACAACCATTTCTAATACATTTTAATGTGGAAATGAGCGATGTCTTGTAGTACAAGTAGTTTGTTTCCAGAACGAATTATGCTCACAAACCAAGGTATTACTGTGTAATGCTCACTTCTGAATTGGAAGCCAAGACAGACATAGAGCTTGGTCTGTTTCCTAACCTCTGCTTTGGATGCTGAGATGTAACTGAGGACTGTAGAACCCACTTAAGTCACCTGTATTGAAATGCAGTGTTCATCATACATCTGTCAGCTTTATTCTATAAAGCCATTTTTTACGTAAAAATTACCTCCTTTGCACTGCTGGCGTCAGGGGAGTCTCAGAGGAAATAGTGTTTTACCGGCTTCCTGAAAGATGAGTAGAATTTAAAGTATCAGGATACTCCATCAGACAGAACACAAATACGTACTATAGTGTATACCGATCAATGACTGCTTATGAGGAAGGCTGAGTGCTGCCATTTTCTTGTCTGGCAATGGTATTGCACGGTCCATGTCCTGTGGCGCTCCTGTCTTAGTGGGGTTTATATCAAATTGCAGGTACCATTATTCCAAACTTACACAAAGCAACATAAAATGAGTTGGTGCCTTGAAATATATGTCAAATATCTCCATCTCTTCTCACCCCTATGACCCCATGTTTTCCTCTTAACTGACCAAAAAGAATGGAAGTATTTTTCAAAAGACTTTGTACTGAATACAGTTTTCTGGTTCCTTTTATAATTTTAAAAGCAGATAAATTGATAAACAAAAGCAATTAAACACATTGTTTTGAAAGGAAACTAAAAAAAAAAAGGTCTTTTAGAGGTGAAGAGACTCCTGTGTGCCCAGTCTTAAACTGTCTTAAGTTTGAAATTTTCAGTGATTTTGTTTCCATTAATCACAAATTTGGTACATAATTTAATACTGATCCTCCCTGCCCTACCCAGGATGAAGTGGTGTCCAAGTCTAGAACTCGATACTATGTGAATTCTCAGCAACACAGAGTGAAAAACCGCATATGGCAGATTCTGCTCGTACTTTTCCCCAGTTTTGATCAGGTAAAATATTATATAAGTACCTTTAAGTGTAATGTTTTCATGTGAATAAACTGTTTAGTGGAAACTGTCATGTGCTATTTTAAAATTGAGAAAGCAATCTGTTTAAAATTTATACTTAAAATTTTTAACAGAAAGAATACTAAGGCAATTAGGTATTAAAGAAAATCAATCAGAAACTGGTTTACATGGCCCCATTGAATATTTTTTCTTTCAGTATTTTAATGTAATATTTTAACTGTGTAAATCTCATTCTGTCCGATTAGAAAATGTAAAATGTTAATACCTAATTTTCCACAGCTAAGTTATTTTGGAGTGTACTGTTTGTCTGTGTACTCTAGAAACCCTGACTTGCATCATTGAGGATGGGATCATCACTTCCCTTGCTTGGCTTTCTTGCCCTTAATGTTATGCATAGTGTGACCATATAAACCAGCCAAGCAAAGGCCGAGATATCGCTCTTACAACAGCCTCTACACAGTTCCTTTTTTCTCCGATGAGGCGGACACTGGCGAGGGGACTCTGATTTCTCTAAGCATCTGTGCTTAATACTCCTATTAAGAACATAGATCATCATTATTATGAGAAAGTGATGGTATGTCTCACACAATTTTTAAAAGCATAGTTGAATGCAAAACAGTTTTCTCAAAGGTGAGTTTTCTACTGTCCTCCCCACCCTCCTTGAAATGTTTGAGAGAATTTTTAAAACATGAACTCTTTTTTAACTACAATTGTAAGAAGTCTTATATCTGTGAAAGATAAACATTTCAGTAACTGTAAGTGTACGACTATATTCAAATAAATTGTTTGAATGAATGTAAGAGGAAATAGCTAAAAGAGTTCCTTCTGGGAAGCAGTGATGGTGGGTATGTAGTGGGGGCTGCTGATTTTCATCATAAGCCTTTTAGTATTAGTTGATCTTTAAAATACTGTATATATTATACTTCATTAAACATAACAATGCATTTTAAAATAAACATTTTAGAAATATTTTACTGGGTTAGTGAGAGCATTTTTTTTTTCTTGGAATGGAAAGCCCCCCCCCCCCATAGACAGAGGGATAATATTGGAGTAGGGGGAGGGTGATCAGAGCAGGCGAGGCCTGTAAGGAAGAAGAAAACCATTGTATCTCTTGTAGAGATGTCACTGCTAAGAATTCTGAATTGTTATATCTTATGTTTTCATTTAATCTTCATAACAGTCTTTCATGGCATTTTACACGAGGCACTCCTGTGGTTCAGAGAAGCGGGTGACCTCTGTAGGTAACACAGCTAGTGAAGGGTGGAGGTGGAATTCAAAACCAAGTCTAACTTAAATTCATGCTCCTAAATTCTTGGGGGCTGCAAATGAGCTTTTCTGCTCCTCTTCTACCAAATAGAAATTATTCTTTTAGGATAAATTCTTCTTTAAAATAAATATACATAATAAATATTTTTTATGTGCTTATATAAGTAGACATTGTTTTTCAGCTGCTATTAGATATGTTCAGTTACCCAGATAGAAGTGTGGTTTTGAAGAGAAGGGTGGGGCGTGGGAGGAGGATTTTGGAGTTCACGGCCTTGGCCAAAGGACTGGGCGGCTGGATGGGCAGAAAGGCGAGGAGTCAGTCCGAGCAGAAGGCAGGAGGCCCCAGGCCCTGCTCCTGGGCTCTGTCTGCCTCTTGCTGACTTCGGCAGCCTTGTTCCAAGTTTTCAATCCAGGGTATCCTGGCACATCTTGATCTGAATCTGATTTCTTCCACTTCATAGATAAGTGACTTTGGGATAGTTATTTAACTTCTCTGAATCTTTTCCTTTCCCTGTAAAAATACAGACCATAATAACCTTCCTCACAGAATTGATGTCCAAATGAAATGTGAAGTAAAAATACCTCATCATTATATTTCAATCAACAGTTTTTAGGGTTGTTGCTCAGAGAGTTGTAGATTCAATAATTCCTTACAATCAAACTTTAAGTTGATTTTTTTAACAGTGATTAATTTTAAAAAAATTAAATCTAATAGCCATATTCAAAGTTGCAAAGAGACTTGATCTTAAATGTTTCCACCACAAAAAAGAAATGATAATTATGTGACGTGACAGTGGTGTTAGCTAATGCTACAGTGGTAATCGTACTGTGATATATAAATGCATCAACATGTTGTACCCCTTAAACTTACACAGTGTTGTATGTCAATTATATCTCAAAATAAATTTTAAAAATTAATAACCATAACAACAGTTTAATTTGTGAACTTTTTCTTTGCAGAATTTCTTGAATAGAATTATTGACAAGATTTTCCAGGCTGGTTTCATCAATAATCAAGCATCCATAAAATATTATATAGAATGGATTATTATATTGATTCTTCATAAATTCCCTCAATTTCTTCCGAAGTTCTGGGATTGTTTTTCTTATGTAAGTAAAAGAGATTTTTCATATTTTTTTAATTAAGAAAAGATTTGGGCTATGCTGGGAGATGTGTTTCACTTTAGTAGTTTTTTGATTATCAGTTACCCTGTCCCCAGTATATTGACAGCCAAAGTGGTTTTAGGAGACAGAAATCTCAGGGCTTCCCTTGACTATCATCGTTTTTATTTGAGAGCTCTTCTATTCCAAGAAATGAAAATAGAAAAGGCTTTTGTTATTAAGTAAGGGGGAATAAATGCCTTCTGCAGTCTTAATTACCAAGCAATGTCTTTCGTTTGATCTTAGAAATAAGAATGATGAAGATTTAAGTGCACTCCTTACATTTTAAAGAACTTTTTAGCAGAGAAATTTCAAACATAACCAAAGTAGAGATTAGAAGAACACCCCTATCACCCAGCTAAAAGCAAATGTTAGTTCATCCTCATTCTTATTTCATCTGTGCTCTTATCCACCCCCGCCTCCTCAACATTTTATGTATCTTGAAATCATTTTTAAGGAGTTGATATTAAGATTAGTGATATAGAGTTTAAAACTGCAGGCTTCCTGAAAAATAATGAATTGTTTCTAAACACCAGCTCTGTTGGTTCCCAAGCTTACCCTTCCGTTTCCTAATAAATGACTTGCCTTCTACTTTGTGTGGAAACGGAGACGCCTTCCTCCAAGTATCTCTTTTTCTGTTTCTTCCGTCCTATTTCAGTGGAAAAAATGGTGGTTCTCTTTTTCACGTTTCTCCTTGTGTTGTTGTTTGTGTTTCCTTTTGGGACTTTACTCTGACTTCTTCCCTTGTAATCTGTTGACTTTTCCTCCAATGGCCGCCGTACTAGTGTCTTGTCTTTGCTAAACTTCGAGAATGATTTATCTCCGTCTTCCTCTCTCGCTCTACTGACACCGCTGTGGTCCACGACATTTCCAGAAGTCACACACGGAGGATTTCAAACGCAGCTGCAGACAGCGTTCTTTGTCTCTATCGTCCTCCCCTACCCGGCATCCTTTCACCTTGGCAGTTGCTTTGTCCACACCGACTACACACTGCGCTGTACTCATTCGCTTTCTGTGATGCAGAGCACTTCTCTTTCATGTGTTTCCTTTCTCTCTCCCAACCCTTACACTTGGTTTATCTTCAGGTTCATTGTTTAGTCCCTTGTGCCTCTCTTTCTACACTTGCTGTGCTTTGTAGACCCCGACCCTGCTGGCTCACTGTTCTCCAGCCACCTTCTCACATTGTCACTGCAAACTTCATCCTGTGGGAAACTGAATTGATGACGACATCTTTCCCTAAAATTGGCTCCCTTCCTGTTGCCATTCATTGCCCCAGTCTCCTGGCTGGAACCGTGCTGTCACAATAGGCAGTGGCAAGGTCATCCTCAATCCCGGGATGCGCTTGCTTAAAACATCGTTCTCAGGATGAAGACCGAAAGCCTCCCGCGTGCCTGCAGTCTTCCGTGACCTTCCGTGTCCTCCCTCACCGGTGCCTTTGTCCACAGTTCCTACTTCCGCGCTTTCGTCATACTGACACACTCAGTTTTCTGTTGCTAGAACACTCTAAAACCCTGTGGTGTTAAACACTGTTTTTTATTTTTCACGATTCTGGGTTGACTTCCTGGCCCGGGCACTTCTGCTCTGTGTGGGTGTCTGCTGGGACTGGGACTTCCAGCTGGCTTCTTCACTCACATGTCTGCCACCCCAGCTGTAGTAATGGGAACGGCTGTGATGGCTCAGGGTCCAAAAATGAGCAACTGGGAGGACACGTCTTGAGGAGCATGTGCTTATCCAGCCTCTGGCTGCATCCTGCCTGCTAAATTTCGTTGACCAAAGCAGATGGCGTGACCACGCCTCCCACGTGGGAGGGGCCTGCGTTAGGGCGTGGTTCACTGCGGACCATCCCTGTGACTGGGACTGACTGGGACCACTCCGACCTTTTCTGATCTCTCACATGCATCACAGGTCCTTTTGCTCTCAGGCCACTAAACACACTGTGTTCCTTCTCTTTATCTACACAACTGCTTTTCTTCTTTCACCTCTCAGGTCATGTGTCATTTCTTAAAGGAAGTGACCTCCCGGAGTAGTATGGTTTTTGTAGCACACAAACTGCCCTAGTTCTAATTAGAATTTTAACTTATTGTCTGATGTGATTCTGGCTTTCCTCCCCACTAGATGCTAAGCTCCATGAGGGCAGGAACCGTACCTGCTTTTCTTTTCCCGTTTCTGGCACAGTGCCTGGCACACAAGAGACATTCAGTAACTGCTAGTTAAAGAAAGGAATTAATCGTCTGATTTGCCTTTGGAGCAGTGTCTGAACTGCAGTGTCTGTAGTCTCTCCCAGTCCGTCTGGCATCTGTCAGCCTCTTATCACAA